AGGGATTAAGCGAATATGTTATAGGGCAAAGTGAGTACTTTAAGTTTATCTAATAATTTACGATGTCTAATAGAGAAAATAATCTACCTGAGCTTCCAAAAAAAGTATTGTAAAATGTATAAAAAATTATCATTAACAATTGTGTAACAATCGGATGGTTATTTCTATATTTGGGATATTCACCCCTGTTTATTTGATAAATTTTGTAATTATAAACTGTTACTAGTTATTTGAAGTTAAACCATTTTATGATATTTACAATTTACTACATAAATAAGTAAAATACATCATATATAGCTAAATTGTAATTATATAAAAAATTTGACGATATTGGAAATTTTTTAAAATTGCTTGTGCTAAGCGAAGACCTTAATTAGGCTTAAATATTTATTATTTTGATTGCAATTAATTATATGTGTTAATATCTAATTATTATTAAATGTACAATTGTTATAGTATTTTTAACAATTTTAATAGTTTTATGAATATGTAATCGCTTGTTTTCATTATTAGTAAAATTAGATACATATTTTTGAAACTTATTATTTGTAGTTTTTAAAAGTTCATTTGCTATATGAAAATTTCTATGAAATTCATGTTCATTTGTTATCTAATTTTTTAATTTAACAAAATTAAATTATTTTTTAGTTAAAAATTTATCAAAATTAACAAGCATAAAATATTACCTGTGCAGATGTATCTTCATCATCTTCAGATATATTAATTTTAAGTCTTCATAATCATCAGCTTCAGAATTAGAATCTTTAATCGAATCTTGAAATGCTTCAGTAGATGATGAAGATAGAATAGTAATTATTTTATTACGGATATTTGCTAATGCTTCTCTTTTATAATTATCTGTAGGTTTTGCATAAGTATAATATTTACCAAAAAATTTGTGTCCACAAATTGCATGACCAGTATTTTTGGGTACTCCAATACTAAATAATTTTATAATACTTGTTTTTCTACCTGAGTGATTACTAATATTTCTCTTTTCTATATTTATTCTACATTCAATGCAGATCAATTTAAAAAATAAACAGATCATATAATCAGCTAATAATTTATCCAAATACTAATTTCTTTTAACAATTGCTTTATTAATAATTTATTAGTTTATGTATTAAATACAGTATAAAAATCTTGTTTTGGCAGAATTAAGACTTTAGAGTTTGTGTTAAAGTTAGAATTGGGGTTTATAATAAAAATTTTTTAATTTTAGCTAGCATAATTTAGACCAAAATTACAAAATTCTTATCTGGAACAGTTCCAATTCTGAATCAGAACAGATTCCAATTCAGGGTACAACATAAATATTATATTACCATTTGAACTTTGAGAAGAAACAAGATAAAAATTTAAATTTTTAAATTTTTAGGATGCAAAGAAATATATTTTTGTATATTAGAATTTAGTTCTGCAGTATTTTGTAAATTATCCAGAAAAGGTATAGTTAAATTAAACTGGCTTCTATCTATTTCTCATTGATTATTTTTCTGTTAGGTCTTTCTAAAAATAATACTATTCAGTATATTTACAATTTACTATAAATGCAAGTTAGCATATTCACCACCTCTAATAGCACCAAGTATAAAAATTAAGAAAAACTTTATTTTAATAATTTTAAGATTATATTTGGATCTAGTACTTTATGGTTCAATATATGCTAAATTTCTTCAATAGTTAAAACATCAGTAGATTTTGATTCTTCAATCATACAAATTTAATTTTTAACCAGATTTTACATCTTGAAAATAATAACTAATTGCTGACAAAGCATTCTTTAATAAAGTTTTTAAATCATATCTACTTTTTTTTGAAGTATTATACTATATAAAATTAGGATACTTGAAGTTTGATTATTTTTTTACTAAAACTTTCAAGTAGTTTATTATAATTAATATCAGACTACTATTGATTTATAACTTTAATTCATCATTTAGTATTTTTAACTATATTTTCTAGAATATTTCCCTTAGCAAGTATCAAAAGTTTGTTAGTAGAAGATAAAAATTAGATTATTCACTTATATTTGAATTAGAGTTAGAAAAAAAAATTATAAAAAAATAAATTACTACTTATATTTATAATTTTTTATAACTAATAAAATTTTATAATCTGTTAAAATAATTTCTGTAACTAATAGTTAAATATAGCGATAAGTATTACTTTATACTAGATAAACTAGTTATAAAATACAAGTGCTTTATAATTATAGCATAATTCATATTTTTACAAATATTTTGAAGCTGGTATAGTTATTTGGCTAAGGATTGAACCTGTATCTGGGTTATCCAAGTTATCTATAGATAGATTATATAACTAAATAAAGATTCTGTTATTTAGAGATATC